TTTTAGACAGGGCAAAAATAGAGTTCAAAGATTCCGTTACATACAAGGGAAGCTTATAAAAGGGTGTCAATAATAATAAGATTCTTTCACTCTTTCTGTTCACGTGATTTTATGTTAAGAGAGGATGGCATTAAAATATCAAGTGTCACATTTTAAACTATGAATGCTTTTAATTTTACGGATACACTTTGAAACTAGATGAAAGAAATATAATAAAAAAAGATGGGATTTTAAATTAATTTCTTACATGTTTGTGCATTCCAACATTTTGGGCCAATTTTCCGACTGCAGCTTCAACTTCTCGGACAGTAGAGCAATCCTTGTTTTGACAATAGTTGCGGATAAGAGCAGAAATACCCAGAATGGCTTGATTGAATCGACCGTCAAGAAGGGGCTGAAAAATAAAACATTCATATGAGATCAGAATGATAGTAAATCGAATTTTTACTGGTCTATTCGCGTTTTTTCTACTAATAATCCTCTAGGGGAATAATGGGTCTTTAAATATTATTCTATTAATAACTTTCCTCCTCCGAAGAAGACGCAATTTATTCAAATAAAAGCTTGTATTGAAAGATTAACTCTGCCGCTCGGGCAGAGAGAGGCTAGAAGCTAACAGGATAGTAAGTAGTGATTAACGTAAGACTAGGCGAGAGCGCTTCATACATTATTTGATTCATATTAAAATTGATATAATTTTTTAAAAAAATAGTTGAAATTTGAATTTAATGCATTTTTAATAAGCATTAATAAAAAATTTATGTTACGAATATAAAACACATTATCATAAAACCCATACTAGCCTTGTTTTCCATAATTTGATGCTCTTGTAAATCAAATTTCATATGTGTACCTCAATTATTGTAGAAGGAGCATTTAAAAAGCATTTGATGGTTTAAAAATTTTCCTTTAAAAATTTAATTTGTTAGATATTTGTGCTATTTTAAGGACAAAAACTATTTTATATAATGCATGTATGTAAGGAGTAACCAAAAAATGTTGAAAATCATTAAATAAAAGATTTTTTATAAATCGTACCATGTCCCCTTAAGACTTTTATTTTCCTGATCTAAGAACTTAGCTGTAAGAAATTTTCAAAAAAGTGTTTGCCAATATTCTTAAACTATACTTCAGAAATTAAAGTAGAATTTTTTCAGAGGAAAAAAAATTATACCGTAAAGGTAGAGATGATTTCTGGAGTAGCATCTGTAATGAATGCGAGAGAAGTTAACCAGAAACTAATTTCAGAGTCAGAGATGCTTTTTGTGGAAATCATTTCATACATGAAACGAGCTGAGTCCGATGTGCTGACCAATGGAATAGCATCCATGAAAAATTTCCTGCAAAAGAACATTTTTATTGTAATAAAACAACACTTGTGTCTAAGAAAATATGTTTTCTTTATAATTGGGAAAAGCAATGCTTATACAGAAATTGTTGTTGTTGAAAATTTCAATAATTAAAAACTTTGATGTATGAATTTGATACATAATAAAATAAATAGGCAATTCCTTAAATGTTTTCAAGAATAAGACGTATTTCTATTAAGAAATTTATCCTGAATGCATGAAAAAACTTTTTTAAATTTACTGTACAATTATAGAAATGTCATGCAATGTTTCAATCGCTGTATATTCAGGCGCATTACGCGCGCCGGGGTATAATACGCACCTATACATTTAAACTAAAATGTTTTAATTTTAAGGTATATTCATTTTATAACGGGCACCTTTTTTTTTTGTTGTTTTTGTTTTGTTTTTGTTTTTTTACGAAGGAATGTGAAATGCATATGTGAAATCTCTTTTAAGGTCATGTATTCGAAGTATTTATTTTACCAGGCTTTTGATCAACGGTATTTTAGAGTGTGAACAACGGTATGTTAGATGGGGAAAAAGTGTTTGCAAAAAGAGACCAAATGTTTCAGGCTAGTCTAGAAATAGTATATGAGTGGATAATATAAAAGTATGGAATGAGAAATTAAACCTGACATAATTCAAAAGTTGCTGAAAAATGTAATATATCTAGCAGTCTAGATGAAACAAAAAAAAAAAAGGATTATTTGCGTATGGATCAGAATAGTACTGATGGTGAATATGAAACAGAATTCGATGATTTATCTGAAGTTTTAAAGGAAGACAGATATGATGAAACGTTCATGTTATCCAATAACGAAAGTTCATGAGATATGTCGTTCGCTTTAAATAAACAGTACTTAGCTATATGCAGAAACATTATTTTTTTTATGATTATGTCCTTATTTTTAAAATTATTTTTATATTCGGCGTATAACGCCCCTGTAAATGTTTATCTTATTTTTGGTGTTGAAAGTGCGCATTATACGCTTGAATACACGGTACGAATTTTAAATAATACGAAATTATAAAAAGATTTGCCTTTCATGAGTGAAGTGTAAGCATAGGAACACTTTAGAAGCAGGCATCGCTTACAGAAACTAATTCTAATTTATTAATAAAAATGTATTTAAAAGTTTTGAGTGATAAACAAAAATTTGCAGTCAAGAAGTGTTTCCTAAATTTTTATGAGAATACCTTTTAACAATATTTTTCAGAAAATCATAAATTTGAATCATAAAATTTGAGAAAGAATAAAATGCTTTAAAGCAGAAAGCTATTTAAATAGCTAAGCTTTTTTGTGCATCGAAATAATGAGAAATAAATGCCCCTAGAATATAACCAAATAAGATAATAGGTTCCACGTTGTTTGAAAATTAAATTCTAAATGTTTTTCAGTTCTGGCTTAAGCATTGAATGATGTTGTAATTATTTAAAAACATTTATTGCAGAATTGTTATTTTAGCTGCGATATTTACCTGGCTTTAGAATTTTCTGGGCAAATACTTTCAGACTTTTGGTAGAATGCTTTCAAAGACTTCAAAGATAATTTCTTCAATTTGTAGACGAAAGCAGAAAATTTTCTTGGGACTGAGATTGAAATGTCAGTTTTGGAAGCATCACAAAGCTCTTTCAGAGCCTTTTCGGTTTCTTCTTCTATTTTAGCAGAGCTAGTTTCTTCCGAAAAGTGTTTGTAAAGTAGAGGCTCAGTTGATGTTTGGTAGACTGAAAATATTAAAAAGAAAACAATTAGAAAATAAAAGGTAGTAAATAGCACTTTCATTTCTGTTTACAGAATCTGATGATTGATTCAATTTAAATACAATCGAACATCCCAATTGTGAATCTCTATATTGTGAATTTTTCCATATAGAGAACTTTTTCCTGGAACCAAGAACATTTCACGATTTTCTTCGTAAACTAACTTCCCAATAGCGAAGTGCATTTTCTATATAACGAACTTTTTCTCTCGTGATTCAATTTTTTTTCTCCCCATTTTTAAAGTATTTCTCGACATTTCAAATTATTCTCTCTTTTAGCACATTTTATGGTGATCGTAAATCTTCAACTGGTTTTATTATGTGCCAAACTTGCCGAGAGCAATAGAATTCTGGGCATTTCATCCAAGAAGTGCAACCTTTAGCCCTCATTATTTAGTTCACTGGAAACATTTTCGATGTCCACTTTCACCCTCAGCGGAGTTGTCTTGTGTCCCCGTGTCCTTTAACTAGTCTTCGTTCATTTGTAGTGTTGATCACCCATACAAGTAACTTCGTTTCTAGTAGCTCGAAAATGTCAAAACGTAAAAGCTCGAGCATCAAAGAAAAAGATTAAATTCTTCAGGAAGTAGATAAAGGCATCAAGAAACTTTCCTTGCGGGTTTTCTTACTTTTCATATTTTTGATAAGTAAGATATATAAAATAAATATGCATTAATTAACAAAAAGAGGTGAATAATTACTTTTTTTAATATATAGCGTTCATTTAATATATTTTTATGTAGAATTATTTAATTATTAATATTTAATTATTTTTAAAGTTATTTATAAAGAAAATTGAAACATGAACCCCTGTATAGCGAATTTTCCATATAACGAACTTATATCCGGAATATAGTGATTTCGTTATATAGAGGTCCGACTGTATTTCAATGATTATATTTTTAACTAAATTCTTGATATCTTATTCATAAAATATATTAGATTTGAGGTGCTGTATTTTAGGATATTTATATATTTAAAAAAATATATTTAAATTACTTAAATATATTTTTTTTTATATATTTAATAAGTATATTTAATTTTTAAGATCTTAATTTTTCTTTCTTTTCATGGGATAATAGAATTAAACGTTAATAATTAGAATAAGTTCCTTTTTAAAGGCTATTTCTTAGGTTCAATTCTCTGAGATAAAACTGTTCTGCTGCATGTTCTTCAGTGTATGCTGATAGCACCGGTTCTCATCTGATCACCGAAGTTAAGTACCACTGAGGGCGGTCAGTATTTGGGAAGGTGACCATTTGCGATCGCTGGAATTCTATTGTGCATGGAAATAATCATCCAAATGTAAAGATATTAAGAGCAATTTCAGTGTCTTGTGGTCAGGGAGTGATATAATTCTTTTATTTTCTACTTTTAGTACGAATCAAACAAAACAAAAAATAGCATTCCGATTAAAAAAAATTGTTCATATTTTTAAAATTTTGGACATACCTTTTCCAGTAAATTTCCTTTCACTGGTGGCAGCAAAAATAAGCTTTTGTGATACTGTAGTGACCACTCCATTGCCACTGTTGGAGAAAGGCCTGAAGACGAGTTTTTCATTGCAAGTGGATGTCTGGAGGAAGCTATCACTAATGACTTGTTCACATTCTTGATTTCCCCTCACTAGAGGCATAGACTGGATATTCTATGAAAGAGATACGCATTATAACTATTTTTTAAAAATGTGTTTTCAGTAAAGACACTATGTAATTAAAATATGTAGTTATATATATATATATATATATATCAAGAGATATTTATTTACTTCGCCCCTTAAAGCACCTAGAGGGCTACTGGTGACGGACCTCGTAATTTTGAGCCTCAGTCGAGTGACGAGGACGATACCTCAACTGGGGCCACCCTCTCCTAACTACGAAACCAACGGAAGGACATTGAGCCTCGACATAATTTACGTGAAACGTACCCTCTGCATAATGAATCTTCAGTAGCACCAGGACTCGAACCCGTGACACTCCGTACACGAACATGACCACTAGGCTACCTTGGCCATATATAACTGCTTTTTAAAATATATGCAGACGTTCTAAGACACGCCAACTATAAAAATGTTCACAAGAGTAAATTGAAAGATATATCACCATAATAAATAGATTTCCCCCTTTCTTTTCTTTTTTATTGTAGAGAAATAAGACAAGTTATCGGTATTTTCTTTAATATATTATTAAATACGATTTGATAATTACTGTTGTTGCTTATGCCCCCTGATCGATAGTAACATCAAGGTCCACAAAATTCATCGCGGCTAAAGGCTAGAATTTTACGCTTGTCGTTAGCCTTAGCCTTGAGCACCATGCAGATGATAGTACGATTTTGTTCGGTTCCATCCCAATTTTGAGGGCAACACCCTGAGAGTGGTCAGGAGCCGCCCATCCGCTTCCACCAACCTCACGAGAGGCAGCTAAACGGCTATTTAGAGTAACCCCTGCAGCGAAGGCACTATAAATTTGCAAACACCGGTGCCTTTTTCGGGATTCGAACCCAGGACCTACAGCACCGCAGACAGCGTCACTAACCACTATACTAGATGGGCGGATGATAGATACTAAATGATAAAAGGAAGCGTGTTAATTTTGAGTAAAAAAATTTTCTTTAGAAGTAACTACAAACGGTTAACATTTTTCAATATAACTTTAATAATTAATTCGCTACAAACTTTCGAAACAGATTTTGGATGCATCAAACCCTAATATTCAAGAAAATAGACGTAGAACTTAGTATGTGTTTATTAAGTATAAATGGAGTTTTTTCGTTAAATAAATATAAATCTACTTAAAAGCGTACATCATTTCTAAGCACAACGAAATTTTTTAGAAAAATTGTAAAATGCAATGCATAATTTCTGAATATTGGGAATACTGGAACTACAGGTTGTTAACATTTTGTGAAATATTTTTAAAAGACTCAGTCGAACAGTATGAAGTTTTTTCCTATACTGCAGAATAATAAGGAGTAATAAATCAGAATTTAATCAATACACCTACACACAAATAAGTTATAGTTTTTATAACTTAAATGTAATTAATAATATTGTGATTGTGTACATGTGATAAATAAAAAGCGAAATGAAATAAAATCTTTCAAATGAAGAAATTAAATAACTATAATTGGAGCAAATGTGTGAGCGACATCTAACTATAAATATACTTACAAATTCATTTGAGAATTGTGTTCCTTGTAAGAAAGATTCAGCATGTTCTCTTTCGGTACAGAAGTTCAGATCTTTCAACTTCCTGATGGTGTGTGCGCCTTGCCAATTCCTTCCAAGAGAGTGGTACTCAGCAGTACATTTTCCAAGAATGTCAACCTAATAAATAAAAATTTTACCGACATTTAGAATTACAGGATACTAAGACGAGATTTTGAATTTGCATACAAACAAAACCAAGAAGTTGGTTTCTTTACCTCAGGAATTCGGGTCGTCCATTCTGGCTTGACGTTGTATGTCTGGAAGGCAGATAGAACACCTTTGTGGATATTAGTAACCCAATCGGGTACATTTTCTCCTGGGCACACATGACTCACAAGTCCGTTTTGGAATGAGAACCTTAAAATATGCTTTTCAATTGTCCTAGCGAACTCTCGAGCTCCTCGCAAGGATACTAAGTAATCCGGACTCTCAGGGTCGGATAACTTAAGCGTCACTCCTCGAAGCTATAGAAGAAAAGAAGTGGTTGTAGTATAGTCTTAGCTTGAGATTTAGAAATTGAATAATAATAATAATAATACGAAGTCAAACTTAAATTTAATGATGAAATATTATTATACAGGAAATCACAAATGCACTCGAATTTATTTATAATAGCCAATATTGGCAATATACAATCGAATCTCCCTCTTATGAATCTCTATTTTACGAATTTCTCTATTTTGAGAGATTTTTCCTGGAACCAAGAACTTGATATATTGAAGGATGAATCTCAATTTAGCGAATTTTTCACATAAAGATCTTTTTTTAGGGATTTAGCGACTTCGTTAGAGGTTCGACTGTAATTCAGAATTGAAGCACTTGCATACCCTCAATGTCTTTTTGTTATAATTGGAATGTATCGTACTGTAATAAAAAAAAGTTTTAAATCTAAAGTAAGATTTAAATATCCTTGTGTGTGTAAAGAGTTAGCCTGTTAGTACTATATATATATATAGTTATAGAAAAATAGGGACGGTTGGTCTAGCCATAAAACTGGTCACCCCTCTTTTATATAAAATTAAAAGCATTGTTTTTTTCATACTGCAACATCCATCTATATAATTTTCCAATATCCATATGATTTTTATTTTTAATGTACAGTTCAGTTCAGTCTCTCTAGTAGATATGATTCAAACAACATATATATAATTTTAATTTTAATATTTTTAAATAACAATGGTTATAAAACGCATCGTAGTTTTGAAATTCATCTTACCCGTCATTCCATACTTAGATTGGCACATAAAAATTTCTGAAATAGTAATATATAAAAATCATAGTTTAAAATCGACTCTTTTCATGCCTAACGACCCTTCTAGAATTAAGGAAATTAGCCACAAGAACATATTTTTTAATATGATACTCTTTATCTAACAATATGATTTCGATCAAAATTATTTTAAATTGCGTAGAAAGATTAGTAATTAATAGCTCTCTTTAAATACATATAATACTTCAAACATTTAAAAGACGATTATTTCACAACTACGATTCCAAACATTATCTTAGAATTTCTCTCAACTTTATAATAAGGGTTTTAAGTCCCATTCACATGTACAACTTGGTTGTATCTCTAAATACTCTAGAAACTAGCTGGATAATAGTGAAATAATAGAGCTTTTATTCAGAAAGTAAAAATTAGTCTACAATATCTTCATCTTGCTTACATCTTGATGAATATCTTATTCGCCAAGATGTATTCTGGAGAAGTCATTATTTTGCAATGCTGCAATATCGTCTAAACTACAGTAGTATCTTGCGCAGTTGTGTATGAATTTATGCATTTACAAAATGGTTCCTAATTCTTTTCAAAAATTACACCATTTATAGTCTAAAAAGAAGTAACTTGGAATAATCTATATCACTAAGGTTCAGAAACGTATTGGACAACCTTCACGCATTTATATTAACTATTCGGTTGTATTGCTTGATTATTGCAGATTCATTAAAACAAACATTGATTCAAGTAGGATACATCACTCATCAAATGCAGAGCAAAAGATGTTAACATTTTTGGAACAAAATCTGATATGTCCATCATCATGCACTTGCTGCTCATGGTGTTTATTTGCAGCCTTCGCCTTGCTTTTTTTTCCCACGGCTTAACTTAGAGAAAGGCACTTAGTCCCTTAGCTAGGTTCCAAAGATCGGGGTAATAGTCCTTAAGCATTGCGCAACATGCGGCACATGCCTCCTTTGTTTTTCACTCCACCGTAAACAGATATTGGGTATTGATTGATGGATGGATCCGATCGTGTTATTTGCTGGAAGAATTCCACCGTATCGAATCTTGAATCGGTTTTGCAACTGGACATGTAATTATCGCAAGATTGAGGTGTAACGTACTTGGTCGTACATCGTCGCCACGACCAGCGATAAGATAGAACTGTTTAAGAAGAGGGGAAAGACCTAATTTGAGGATGCTTCTATGAATTAAAGAAGCAAAGGTTATCGGTTGAATTCCTGATTAAAAAATTTAGTTATAAACAGTAATATGAGAAGGAAACTTTTCATCGTTTTTTTAAAGAACTTTAATTTGATAAAAAAAAAAAAATAGATGGAAAAAATTATTTATTTATTTTCTTTTTTAAAAAAGTTTATAAACTAGTTATTTCCGACTGTCTGATTTTTTTTTTCTAAGAATTTTAGATTTAGTTTTTAATGTTTTAATTTTAAAACATTCCGTAGACCAAGTATAGTCTCTTTATTGTAATTTTCTAACTTTTATACCGAAGCAGAATAAGATATATTGTATATTTCGGTGTATAATAAGAATTTATACTTTCAAAGTACATTTTTTTAAATTTTTTAGGTATATTCGTCGGATAACGCGTACCCCTTTTTTACGAATAAAACTGAAATGTACTAGTGAAATGTTATTTTTTTTAAGTCATTTATTCGAAGTACTATCTCAGGCTTTTAAACAAAGGTATACTTCTAAAACTACAACCCTAATGCACAAGAACATAGGGAAAGGAGACAGAGCCTGTAAGGTATTTAAGTTTGAAAGTTTATAAGGTATTGTATTTCTTTTAAATTAACTGTAATTATATATAAATAT